GGGCTGGTAGACGTGAAGATTGTGATTGAAGAGTTGAAAACCGAAGAAATGCAGCGAGTTCCCGAGGTCAACATACATCTGCAAGAATCCATGATGCATCACTGTATGCCTTCTCATGAATTTGCTGCAGAGAAAATGAAGCTAAGATCAATGCGTCCGGTAAGAAAAAGTCATTTTACATTACTAAGGAATTCTGGGTTCCATAAACTCTCACAGTTCTGAACAGAAAAGGTGTAACACTCTATTTAGTCTATTGTTGCACAAATAATTCCGATTGTTTCGGTAGAGCCGGAAAATGTGAAATCTTCTCGGCCGTGAGCGTAAATGTAAAGCATGAAAGATCCTCGCCTTGTTAGGCTAACTGATTTGGAATTTTCATCGGCTTTCGATTTACACTCTCCTCAACCCACCAATGAGGTAATGGAATCAACTCGGTCTGCCTACCACGTAAGTCCTGTGGATCGAGATGAAACATCTCTTATTTAATTTTGTAGCATACTTTCTCCTTAGGAAAATGTTACAACGTAACTAAAAGTATACGAGCTTCCGTTTTCTTGAGAGTGTAAAGCATTATCAACGTAAACGAACTGTTGGGGTTAACTCTAGACGTTACCAACGAGACTTTCTTTTATAAACTAACTATTGATTTCAAGTTAACTGATGCAATCTTTTGCAAAAGAGACTAAAAGTTTAACAATCACATAATTTTGTTCCCAACGTCAACCAATGATCCCAATATTACTTGCGTGCGTTAAAGAGGTGAATTTGATTTTTCCTTTTGTTTATTTCAGGTTGTCGTGGGCATCCATCCTACTCGAGATTCAAGGAGCAAAAACTACGTAAAGGAAGGAGAGACTAAAGGAAAATCTAATAGGAAAACGGTAACTAAAGAGTGCTCCTCTTTCCCTTGTTATCAGTCCGAAAACCCCATGGCTCAATATTTTGATGTTGACACCAAGGTGTGGAGGTGTTTGGCATCGGTTGCTCGGTTGAATGAAATAACTGAAGTATGTCGTTCTACAGAATTGATTGGAAATTACTTGTATGTAGTTGCAGAGGCGCAACAGACACGTAAGTCCCATGAGTATGTTGTATATCGTTATCACATATTAAATAACGCGTGGGAGAAACTTCCAAAATTGAATATATGGGAATCAAAAATGGAATTTTTGAGGGGCCCGGCAAAGATCTGTCTATGCTCAGTCAATGAATACTTGTACGTTATTTCTGAGTCAAATCCTCCTCAAAGATACAGTTTGAGCAGTGGCGTTTGGCAAGCAGGGGAAAAGTTAAATTATCCAAAAAAATGATTCAATTGTTACAGAAATGTTCCACTCAAAGTAGTCACATATTTGAGGTTTTGTGCATTCC